CCACTGCTTTCGCTTGCTGCTCAGAAAGCTGTGAATCCAGTAAGTTCCCAGACCACAAATATACTCCTTCAGAAGTAGAACTTGCCTGTCCAGAGATAACATTAGTATTAATTGAGAACTGCAATGTATAAACAATAGCAGTAACTGTACGGCTTGTGTTCAACTGAAATCTATTCTCTTCCATCCAGAGGTCTTCAGATTCCTCCCCCCCCCACAAGATAAGAGGTCAATGACATCTCTTCTTGAATGTTTACTTAGATAAGAGCAGAACAGTGATGATATCATGTCCCAGGTGGTCAGATGACCTTTTCCTTTATGGATGCTAAGAAGTAGGACAGGAAGACTCGAAGCATTGCACAAGACAGGGACCACTGAGGCAATCTCTTCTCCCTCACTATTCCTGACTGAAACTATCTACTTTAATTTTCTCTTGTTTGTTCTCTCTGCATTTCTATTGCTGGAGTTACCTTTCAGTTAGTACAAGCTAGTCCATTTCTCCTATTAGTCTTCCAAATAATCTTGCTCTGGATCTTCATGTTTATTGGTAGTAATTTGTAAGGTAATTTTTCTCCCCTGCTGCTGTTGATCTTGTTTCACCTCCTCTAATTTTATGCCATAAGGAATGCTTGATAAAGTTACCAAGTTATTATTATAGAAAGGGAATGTTTTTCAGTTTATATTCAAATGGCCTCATTAAATGTTTCATTAGGGAACAGTATAGCATCCATGAATAAAATTTTGATAAATAAATATTCTATAGTAAAATCAAAAATTTCTTTTGGTGTGATTTCTTACTATAGAAAGTTTAAAAAGTATAGCAAGATGTCTTTCCTTTAAAGGCCCTGAGCGTATCTCATTGTTTACAAGGAGAAATTTTTTTAGAAGCTTTATTTTTCCCTCCTAAGGACGCTTTGCATTTTAAGGGTTAATGGCTTAAGCTTTGTAGATGGTTAAGAAAGCTATCCCATCCCTCAGAACTCCAGAAATATCCTCCAAAATGGCCCTGGAGACTTTTGGAACAAGAAATATAAATACGTAATTGTTACCCTGTTACCCAGAACATATGGATAGTATATTTAAACATCTATCTTATATAATTCTCAATTTAGTATGATCCCCAACCAATAAACCCAGGAAGATGAAAAAGAAAGTATCATCTGCCTACCTAACTGCCACAGTGGCACAATGGTTAGAGTGCAGTACTGCAGGCTACTTCTGCTGACTGCCGATTGCCTGCAATTTGGCAGTTCAAATCTCACCAGGCTCAAGGTTAACTCAGCCTTCCATCCTTCCAAGGTGGGTAAAATTAGGACCCAAATTGTTGGGGGTAAACTGCTTAAAGAGGGCTGTAAAGCACTGCAAAGCGGTATATAAATCTAAGGGCTATTGCTATTGCTAACTATACTCCTAACAAATCTAAGGTAATCCTTCACCATCCCATTTTATAGATAAATTATTTGGGGAGGGGGGGAACTGTCTCTGGCAAATATAGTAAATATAAACTGTTACAATACGTTCAGGTTCACATATAAGAATTGGATATCAGAAATCTAAAGCAAACTAATTCGTTTCTTTAAGAGACAAAAGAAATACATTTCTGAATTATGGCATTTAAATATAAAGATTCTGAAATCTTTTGATAAATCTATCCTATCATTCTAAGACTCAAATAAAAACTCTAAATAAGAATTGCAAAGGAGAGACACAATTCTAATACCATTCCCCTTAAAAGACCACAAAACTTTTAGCAGGGATGAGAATAATTATTCCTCCCATTCCATCTGATATAAAGCAAATAGAATATAGTATAACTCATTCAATTTAAATGACTGGTTCCTCCATTATATTCTTGTGTCTGTGGTAAACCAACTCCATATATAAATGTGCAAACCACACAAGTGCTTATTAAAGTTGCTGTTAAAAACTAATAAAAACAAAAGGATTTTTTCAATACTTCTTTGCTAACAATGACATATTCTCATCTTCTGATACAGGCTTGTAAATAATACAAGTTATGAATCAATATTTGATGTGAGTTGCAATGCTGCTATTATTCAGTACTAGCACTTCTCAGACATTGAAATATAATTCTCTAAAATTGCAGAGCAATCTATACAGAATATTTATATTAATAATATATGGGACAAAATGCATGAATTACAGTAATAGAAAGGAATTAGAAAAGGAAAAGTCTAGGAGATACATGCATAAAAGTATATACAAAGTTTCAGGAAGATACAGAAAAGAATAGAAGGAACTAATAACTAGAGAAAATGAAACATTCTGAAAATTTGACAAGTACACATATTTTGTGCTTTATCTATATAATGTAATTGTTACCCCCTTATATTCTAGTGAATGTAGCAGATAAGGAAGACCTTTGCCTAAGTCTCTTCCAAATATTATCCTGTTTTCCAGAGCTTAAAAAATGCTTCAGCCCTCTTTGCCTGCATATTTCTGTCGAGGTCACCGTCCTCATTTTCTGCACTTATCTTCTGAAGTACAGTACTTATCATTCCACTCCAATGCCAGTCAAATGATATGATTTCTACAAATACTTTGTTTTAAGCATAAACACCTGCAGGACAAAAATATTCACATATACAAAAATGCCTATTCATCAATTTCCATCTGAACTTTGCTTGATCACTTGTTCTTATGAATTCATACAGAAAAGTTGATGTAGTTAGCATAACGATGGCAGTAGCAGAATATTGCATAGTTAATACTTCAAAATTAAAAACCCTGTTTATGTCAAGCATACGGGTAATCTCAATTCTAACAGGTCACAATCATGACAGAGAAAGGATTGGGAACCATTTGTTCTGCATCTTGCTAAATACAATGTTTTCATCTATATTAAAAAGGATATTATTTTATAAGCATAAATCATAACTGCAGGTGGTCCTTCTGTTCCGACCATTCATTCAGCGACGATTAGAAGTTATGGCAGCACTAAACGAATGAGACTTTTGATATTTGCCCAAAGTTACAGATTGCGCAACATCCCTGTGGTGATGTGATCAAAATTCAGGCGCTTGACAGCTCGCCAACACTTACCACTACAGGGGCACTTCAACTCCCCTCCATCCGCCTATCCCCATCTGATCTCTATCCTTTTGGTTGAGCAGCTCTCCTTGCCATCTCCTACTTCATTGGGTTTGAAGTAAAAGCCTGGGGCCCTCAGCAGTCTCAGCTGGTCACCATTTGCCACAGGTTGCTGGTTTTATCCAGCATCGCTTAATCATCATCTTGAGTGCCACCTCAAGACCGAGCAATGCCAACTTGCTGCCGACGCTCCACTTGTCCTGCCATCCTGAAGGTTTCCAGCCCTGCACTCTACTTGTCTTGTTGGCCTTGCTGCCTCCTGCTGATCTTCACCATCTTCTTCCTCCTGCTGCTGATGAAGTGCAACCAGCCCGGTCCTATGTGAGGCCATTGCTGGCTGTGCCAGGGTGTTTTTCCCCGAGAACACGCAATTCTTCCAATTGCAGAGAACATTCTCACAAGATCTCAAAAGTCTTCCAAGAGAAGGCATTCCCTTAACTTGCTGAATATCAGGAGTATCGGGCAGCCCAAAAGGCAGAGGGGCAGGGAAAAGTAGTTAGGGGAGTGGAAGAGAAAGCATTCCCTTATCTTGCTGAGGCCCAGAGCCAGGAGAGACCGAACTGAAAGTGGCCTGGATCAGGGTGTATCCTCACCTAAAATCTGGTGAGTTGGGATTGCCATTGCTAAGTGATGCATTTATGTAACCACATAACATTTCAGTCCCAATTACCATTGTAACTCAAGGACCACCTGTATGCTTATAGATGCTTCATATAAATAAACAGATACAGTAGGAATACATCATCAAATATAGTTACACTGAAGTTGCAAGAACATTATACTGAAGTCATTAAGTACATCTTTTGCTGTACAAATATTTAGTATTTATAGATATAACAATATATATTTTGGGGAACTGACAATTATTGCTTTTTATTTAGTGCTAGCACTATTAAGCTGAAGTAGTTATATATCTGGCTATTCTCCAAGCAACTTTGCATTGTCCTTAGTACGATCTATCTCAAACCATTCTTCTCTAATTCATACAACCACCATGTTATATAATGTTACTATATAACAGAAATTAGGATACAAATCAACCACTTCCTTGGAATGTATGATAAATAATAACTGAAAGCCAGATTTAGTTATGCTTATTGTGATGAAATGCTGATTGACTGAAACCACTAAGAGGAATACATTTTGAGTTATTCATTCACAGGGGTTGAGCCATGTGAAGGATGCAATAGAGAGATTAAGGCACCATAACTGCATCCTGACACTTCAAAGAAAAGTATTGCTATTTAAAACTCCATTTCAGATTGTTATATAACTTTGCACATCAAGTAGGAAAAACCTCAATTATGCTTTATTAAGCAACAGTGTCCTACAGAGAACTTTTTCAATTAAAATGTTTTGTAGAGTTACTTTGATTATTTAATTCATAGACCATTTTGTAACATTGATTTATACATTATATTATTTGCTTTGGCATTGTATTTGAAAATTAAATATTCATGCTAAAAAACAAGTTTAAAAAATAAACTAACACCTTTAATATTTAGCAGAAGTTAAATATTAATCTGTGTTAACAATAAACTGGATGAAAAGGGATTATTTATAAATATATTTTTTGCTTTTGTTTGTAAACTTTGTTTTTGTATATAAACATTTTTGTTTCGAAATATGCTGCAAACACTCTTATAAAGCATTCATTATAGCAGTGCATTACATCTAATGGCAATGAATAGAGAACATTTCTTCCTTTTCTAAATTTAGACCTTCAGATTTGCATTTAGCCCCAATACTGCCGTAGTGCTAAAGAAATGCTGAACAATCATTTTCATAAATCATAAACATTCTGAACTACATTAAACCTCACTCAAAAATGTAGATTATAAGCTTAAGGTTCACGCACAACAAAAGAATGGGAACTGGAATTTTAATCCTACCAGTTTGGCTGAGTTGTGAGGTGCTCCTGCTTTTCCGTGAAAGTCCCACGATAGCTACCATTTTAGCACCAATACTGGATCGCCGTTTTTTGCCACCTGCACCCACAGTGCCCACTGCTGTATCAGATTGGCTGCCATCGTTCTTCTCTAGGGTATACATCTCCCCACTGATGCTGGTGCTTTTAGTTATGTTCTGTCCTGAAGCGCCAATCTGTCTGCTTTGCATTTTAGATGTGAAAACACTGTCAGCCAGGAGATGGATAGACAATGCCATAAAAGGAAAAAATAAATAAATAAATAAATACATAAATACATAAATAAATAAGAAGACCGTAAAAGAAGGTTTCAGACTGAAGGTTTGGAATGACTTGTGGGAGGAGCAATTAATGCACACAGACATTGGTTTGTCATCAAAGTTGAAAATATTCTTTGTAGTTGATTGTACAATAACTTTGTTGTTATTGTTTTGTCTCATTACAAAACTTATTTGTAAATTTGACTGAAAAGCTCTGGCATTGCTATTATGATACACTAAACAGTAATATTATAACCATATAAGAAATACAACATGTATGCTTTTATAGTGTATTGTTCTTATATATGAATATCGGTTATACACTGATGACGTGCATGTAGTCTTTGGCTTATGACCATTCATTCAGTGACAGTTCAAAGTCACTATGGTGCTGAATAAAGGGATGTTGTGAAGTTCTGGCTTTTGCAGTGTGCCTGCAGTCATGTGATCAAAGTTTGGGCACTTGCCAGTCCTTCTGCACATACAACTACAGGGTCGTTGCAACTCCCACGTCTACCTATCTGTTCCCATCAGTGGCCTTTTGTCCACCTGCCACCCAGCTGAGCATTGTTGCCATATTTCTTGCTCCAGCTGCTAATGAGGCATGCCCAGTCTAGCTGCTGAACTGTATGAAGCTGGTTCTGCCCAGAAGTGAAGCACAAAGCAATCATACTCCTGCAAAGGGGTATTTTTTTGCAAAGACTTCCCAGGGAGGGCTGAGGTGAAAAAGGGTGAAAAAGACTAACAAAATAAATACATTATCCATGAAAGTAATTTTTAAACATTATATGCATATTCAATCATATAATGTGCATCCTAATCTGTAGTCTAAATTGCTGCAGCTTAGAAATACTTTTCATGCCTCACAGAAAGTTAGTATTCTTATAAACAGCTGAATAACTGCACATTATTTTTATTACATTTATCTTGGCATGTCTCAATGAACAATCTCGGATAAAATATTTCATTATTTTGCTCAAATATCTCTAGTCCAGGCCCTCGGAGATGAAGATTTAATAAAGGATTGACAAAAATTCAATTTGGTGTACATATATGCAAATTGTGTTGCATTATTAATTGAATTGTTGTGTACTTTTGTGGGAAAAACAAGAGGAGGCTGTGTATGTTCGTTCTCTTGACCTCCTGCAAGAAAGGCAGAATCTATATAAAACAAATCGGTTAATATTCTGATTATCTTCAATAGACTTTTACATGCAGAGAGAGTGTGTAAAGATAAGGATGATCTGAAAAACATGCTAATATGAATATGCACAAGTACACTAGACCTACACTGAAATGAGTAGTTTGAATTCTGTTGCAGACTTGCAGACTTAGTGTATTTAAGAGTGTAAAACACAGTTAAAAAGTTGCATTTCCTTAACACCCCAACCTATAATAGAAACAATATTTAATTCATTGTCATTCAGAATTGTTATAGTGAATATTTATGTAGCTCAATTATATTTATAATTTTAGATTTTACACACACACATACATATACACATGTACACACACACACACACTGAAGCTTCCTATAAGAGAAATACTGTATATTAAGCTAAACTGAACATAAAAATTCAGCTGAATCAATGAAATTGGAGGATAAAAATGACATAAAAATTTAAAAACCATTTTCACTATGTTTTAAATTTGAGGCAACAAACCATCAAAAATACATGAAATAAGCAAAATCATAATACAAGTAGCTAACATGATATACTGCTGAGCAATATTATTAAATAAATGGAAAGCTTGTGGAAAAGATTTCTGTAATAAGCAACTATGACGGGAGTTAAAAACTAATATATATATTGTTGTATATAACAACGACTAAAAACAACGACTCTGATAATGGATTTAAAATAGGGCATGGAGAGGCTTGAAATAACTAGAAAAACCTTGGGAGAAGTTAGTAAAATTAGTAATTATGAGTTAGTACTCCTAATTAAACATATCCTATTTTTGTCTTTTTACAAATACGGTAATCAAAATTAGGAAGTGATTTGTATTACTGTTTTAGGTTTACAAGAGTGCTTGTCCATTGACAAGGGTATTGTTCATTTTTCAGCATATTCTATTATAGACTGAGAGCAGTGGCAGATTAAGGCTCACTGGTGCCCTTAACTGACAAATCTTGGTGCCCCCCTCCTTTGGCACATACTGTACAAACGAAGCCATAATTCTCAACTTTGTGGTGCCCTAAGCACCTGCTTAGTCTGCTTAATGGTTAATACACCACTGATTGAGAGCCAGTTTGTGCAGGGGAAGAACACTGTGTCTGAGAGCTCTAGCCCCATTTTAGGCACAAAGCCAACTGGGTGATCTTGGCCCTGTCACACATTCTCAGCCCTAGGAAGCACACAATCACAAGCCATTTCTGAAAAACCTCACCAAGAAAACTGCATGGATTTCTCTAGGAAGTTTCTAAGAATTAGAGATGATTGAACAGAAGAGGGAAAAACTTTTACTTTTCTGCAACATTTTATTATATATTTTTTCCTGCAATGTTCTGTTATATAATGTCACCATTACAGGGATCTTTTGAAACAGAAGACTAGTGCAAGACAAAGAGTTCTTAACTCTTGCCATTTGTTTTCTCTCAAGGAAATTTTCTTTAAAAAAATATTAAAAAGAAGTATGGTTGCATTGTGCTTGGAGAGAAAAACAGTTCACTAACATATTTCACATATGCGTCAAATGTGAAAAAATTTCCAATAAAGCTTACATTATAAGTTTTCTGGCAACCAGCAGTAGTTTTTTATCAAATGCTTTATGTCCCAAAGAGGAGGGAGTATTATGCCAAGATCAACTGAAGATAGATGTGCGTCCAATTTTGTTTTCATGCCTGTTGTCTAAACTAATCTCATCTATGGATATTAGACTTTAATCTCAATTTCCAAAACTATGAAACAAAATTATCCTTGAAACTCCAGTTCTCCAGATTTTGCTCAAAACATGCATATGAATTATTATTTTAAAAGTTGCAAACCATATCCAATAAATATAAATGTAGAACATAGGAAGACAAGACTACATAATATTTTACACTTTAAAAATTGCTCTGGAATTACAGTGAATGAAAATCATGCAAAACAGAATATGTGTAACAATTTTGCAGGGTTTTTTTTCCCCTGTGCACTGATTGAGTGATCTTTTTCTAGGCTGAAACTTTTCTGCTCCTGCATTTTCCTGCTGTCTGGATTCTTATGGCCTTTTGTCTCCTGAGAAATACTTGGCTATATATATATATAGCCTTCAAAATTTTCCTTTATACCTTTGCTCATTTCTTTTCTCCCTCATGCTGTCCAATGGCCATGCTCTGCTTTTAAATTCCCAATACCTGCATTATGAATTCCTTTCCAATTATTTCTACAGCCAATTCTCATATCTCAGAGATTTTGTTCTGAATAAAAACAACACCCAACAAATTCTCTACTAATGGAGAAAGAGAGGAAAAGAGATAAGAGCAGAACGGTACATTTTATATATTTTATTTTATTTTATTTTATTTTATGTTATCTTATTTAATTTTAATATTTTATTTTAATAATTTATTTTATTTTATTATTCTATTTTATTTACTTTATTTTATTTTATTATTATTTTATTTGCTGCCCATCTTACCACAGGGTAACTCTGGGTGTCTTACAGTTACATATACAATTAAAACATAGAAAGTTAAAATCAGACATAAAAACTAAGGACACATGGGGAGGATGGGGGACAGTGGAGAGGAGGTGGGACCTGTTATTAATCAACCACTCCCATTGCGCTGTTCCCCCACTATTTTAATTGTTGTCACCATTTGTGATGGGATGCCATAAAAAAATTAATAAAACATATAAAGAAATTCAGTAGCAAAAGAAAAGTTTGTATTTTGCCTGTGTGATCTGAAAAAGTTCTCAGACATGGTTTTTCATCAATCTGAAGGGAGATAGATACCAACTGGATGTAACCATGTTCACACTTGAACCCAATATTCTACAACACCTTTATTAATGACTTGGATAAAAAGCTGAAAATACTAGCTATGAAATCGGTAGAAGACATAAACCTGGGTGGGACAGTTAGTAGCCTAAAAAATAGAAGTAAAATTTAAAATGATCTTGATAAGTTGGAAAAATGAATGATAGCAACAGACTGAGATTTAATCGAAGTTTTCACTTAGGAAAAATAAATCAGGTATAGGACAAGAGATATTTGGCTTATCATTAATATTTGAAAAATATTTTGTGATTGCAGTAGAATGGTGTGGCTAAAAAAAAATCCAGACACAATTTTAGGTTTCACCTATAAAAATCTATTTCCCAAATCACATTTCTTAACTGAACCTTTTAAGGAAAATCTGAAGAACAAGAGAGTTATGTTAACATCCTCCAAATATCTGAAAGAATGTCACAGAAGAAATTATAACAGATTGCAGAACACCAAATACCGTACTTCAATTACAGAAAAAGTTTCCAATTAAAAGTTAGGAGAAAAAACAGTCAAATCCAATTGAACAGTTGAACCAGTTACCCAGAGAGATTGTTGGCTTATTTTCAATAGATCCATTCAAGCATCCAAGATATTTCAGTTTTAATTACTGCACTTAATGTGGTTTTGGATTCAATGCCTAAATGGCTTCCTAGGGGATCTATGATTCTGTGATTTTGTGAAGAGGCTCATGTTCAGAAAACAAAACCTGTAATAATATCCCTATTTCTGAAAGCTCTAAAATATATAATACTAATAATAGAATTAATAATTATTGATCACAGTATGTCCCCGCCAGATAAGAATAGAATTTTATAGTATATTCCTTCAGTTTCCACAAGATTCTGCACATACATTAAATAATAGATGGCTTGAGTAACCCATTATTATCCTTACTGATAAAATTATTCTTTTATGAGAACAAAAATAAAGAAAAATATATTGTGTTTTTTTCATATGTTTTGTATTAATGACATATAAGGCCACCCATATCAATATCCATTCTTCCTAAAGAACCCTATCTGCATAGCTCCAGAATGTTATATTTATATATTGTGAAATATGTTGGTATGACAAAATTCTGTTAAAATGACAAAAAAGCTAAGAACTAGATGGCCTCTCTATACTTTTCTCATGAATTCCAGCTTAATGGGAATCAAGATCAACCAATTGTTGGCCTTAATTTCTATACTATGCAACAGTGGTTCTCAACTTATGGTCCACGGACCCCTGGGGTGGGACAATGTCATCACAGGGAGTCTACGAAGGCTTGAAGAAATGTTATGTTTTAAATCTTGAGTCAAGTGTTGGGGGTCTTTGGCCATGGTCCATGGTCACAAAAGATATTTAAAGGAGACCAAAGATGAAGAAAAGGTTAAGAACCATTGTTATACAAGATGGGCAACATTTCTGTAATTTCTTTTGTAAAATAAATTAATGAATTAGAACTTTGGTTGACTATTAAAATACTAAGGTAAAATTTCATGATGGACACAAAAAGGAAACAAAGATGCTACTGCAAATGATAGAACTCTCTAATAAATGGAGATCTAATTTTACCTGAGATCATCCTGTGAGTACCTCCTTTGCAATTCCTCTTTATTGCTTGTTTCTGTTCCTTCCTCAGTTATCTCCTCTTGGGCCCCTTCATCCTCTTCTGCTTCTTTATCTTCCTCATCACCATTCTTTGTCACCTCCTCCCCTTCCCCTTTTTCATCATCTTGTTCATCCAATTTTTTCTCCAGTTCCTGATCCTCCTCTTCTTTCTCAAGGAATACTTCCCCATCCCCTTCCTCCCATCCCTCTTTTCTTTCCTCATGTGATCTTCCGAAGGTAACAAAAATCGAGGAAGCATGCAATCAAACGAAAAAGAAGACAGAACCCAGTTAGGAAAGCTAGACAGAATCAAAACATTTATTGAACTGAAGGTGGGGGAGGACAGCCACAAAATAAATGCTAAATGGCAATGATGAGGGGGGAGGGAACATGCAGCCCAATTCTACGAACTAATTAAGATAGACTCTTACTATTTTCAAGAGCAGAAATGGCAAAAAGTCTGGACAATAACATAAATGACAAAAATATCTGTAAAGATATTCTTTAAGATGCAGGACAAAAATACTTATGAATCTTTCTGCATGTGCTGTACATAAATACACATCTGTAATACTGCTCTATGGCTTTGTAAAACCTATAACCACAACAAACATTAAATATTATCTTAAATGCATCACAAACTCTACAGTATTCTGGTTCACATGGAAGACACTTTGGCTCTCCTACAGACAGAATTAAAGCAGTACTGGGGGAGGTGGAGGAAGATTTTAGAAGAGGCCTATTTTAGGAACATGATAATGAGGTTTATACTGCCATCATGTACATTTATGAAATGTACTCATTAAGATCCGTATATGACTTGATATTATAATCCAGAACATTTCTTTTAAATTGCCCTCTAATGTGGAGTTTTAGTAAACAGTTTGTTTTGAAAGTAAGTAACTTACCTACTTTTAAAGACTCAGAATGTAAAGAAATACAGAAGCCTACACTGAAACTTCAGCAAGTGTACTGGAAGAGATGTGTACTGGGATCCAGCTCAATTCATGGAAGACAAGATTAAAGCAGACTTACCTAATTTTCTTGTTTCCTCTTGGCCTTTCTGATTGCACAGACATATAACTAGTGCTGCTAAAACGGGATGCACTACTGGTTCTCGAGACTGCTGATACATCGCTGACATCACTGTCTGAAGACTTGTTGGAGACATTATCAGAGCCTCGTTGAGGACGATACTGTAATACAAATTAATTATGATGTTCATGGTAGCCTTAAAGGGATCTTGTTCTTTTAATAATTCACCATCCAAGCTTTTTATTGGTCTAAAGAGGGTGATTATTTTTTTTAATGTATCAATTTTCCCCAATAGCTACTATTTAATTTACTTGAAACATCTCAAATATTTTTCTTTAATGTGCTCAAAGCAGTTTGTGTGGTGTAAAAATGCAACCAATGGTAAAATAATATTACATAAATATTTTTTAAAAAAGAAAGTATTTTAAAGGAAGTGTATGAAGGCCTGCAAAACCTGAACCAATGTGTGTATCGATATAAAATCCTTGTTGCAAATTTTTTCATACATTTCATAAAAACAGAGACAGTGTTTTCGGTTATCATTGTCATCGCCCAACAGTGAGATATAACAATCAGGGAGATTTATATTTAACATCCCTGTTTGTAACACTTATTTTACAAAGATTGTAGCTAAGCTACTGGATCTTCTGCCCGCAAAAATCCTTAATTGAAGAATGTGATTGATGACACCCAGCCCATGAACATGCTTCATTGGAGAATCTGATTCATGAGACACCCGGGGGGGGGGGAAACAGGGTCACAGGTGACTGTAAATTACATATGCCAGAGTTGGCTTCATACAGGTTAATGCCGGACCTGTTGCTCCTAATAAACCATTTGGTTTCTTTTGAAGCTTGGCTCGAGACTCATGATTTAATTAGGGCAATCACCAGAATCCTGACACTATCTCAAAAAGGTTGCTAGTGTTTTGTTCTTCCTTTTAGCTATGACAACTTTGCACAAAATATAGATTAAATAGTTGTCAACTTTAACATAAACATCTTTGGAAACTAGATGGTTTATCTCTTGTCTTGTATGCAACCCACCTATTTAATTTATTCTATAAACTGAAGTTAAACAAATGTGTCCATAAAAGATTATACTAATTTTACAGTAAATTATCACAGTAAATGGCCATCTGCATTCAAGCTCTGAATCTTAAATGATATATATACTTTATTATTCCATGGAACTGCATTCATTATATTAGGATTGGTGAATACCCTTTCCCCAACCACATTACAATATGGCAGTACCAGATGGCTGGAGAATTTACAAAGAGAGAACTAAAACGAACAGCAGATAAATCATTCTTCTGATTGTTTGAAACATTTGAGTTTCTTGCCAGGAAATATTAAATTAGGAGACTTATGAAATCAAGAAAACTATAGGAATGTCAGAGAAAATGTTTTCCTACCAATGGAAGGACAACTAATGAAGATCATAACCTGCTAATTCCTTTCCAGGAGTTAATTTGTGAACTTTAAAATGAGAAATGATTAGATAACAAAGATTCTTGGGTGGCATATGGACCATAATACCAATTTCCATGTTTACATGCACTTTATCTGTATGCCAAATGTTAAAATAAACAAAAAGCCTGGTATTGATTTTAATCAATGATATTAACTCTTCTTGATTCTAATAGTATTTTTTATATAATTTTATAATTTTGAATTTAGAACCACACTGGGTCTTGTGTAGAAAGAAAGTTCCATATATAAATAAATAAACAAACATAAATAAATCTATAAATTCATAGTGGTAAAGAAAAAGCATGAACTTTAGAAAGAAATACAATGTTAAAAATCTTCACAATCTCTAATTTAGTAATGCTAATAAAACATTTTAAAGAACTAAAAAATAAATTATTTTTTAATTTCTTTAAAAAATTAAATTATATGTACAACTTTATATTGTATTTATTATATTTAAATTATTTTAATCTGTACTTTCTGCGTACATTCTCCATAGTGGGGAGAACTTTATTCTAATCTCAATATTGTATATAATATAAAAGTATAAACTTAAATAGTTACGCAGGTCTTGGCATGTTCGGGTCTTTTCCCGTGTAAGAAAATCTACGAAAACTTAAATAGTTACTATGTATACATATACAAATCTATTCTAAAAATTAACAAATTGTTATAACAATTTGGAGAAGAATTGACTTTAGAAATTAAATAAAAATTTCTGAGAATAACAAATGATTACTGGAATAAATTTTTATTCTATCACTACAAATTCTAGACCAACCTAAAAGCTGACCAGAATGAAAGTATATTAGGTATATGAATTTAAGATCTAGATTTAGATTACTTTCTACTCCAAAGCATTTATAGTACAAGACAAAATGAAACTATATGCAATATTGCATTTATTTAAAACATTTCCCCATATTTGTGACAGAGTCTAAAATTGTATAATGCAACTTTCTACTTGTTTGCATACAACAGGATTTTGACCTAGCAAAAATAAGGTAGTTTTTCAGAACTTCAAGAAATGTGAGACAATTTTCTATAAAGTAGAAAATACACATTTTTTAAACAATATGATGCTTATCCTTTAAATATTCTCATAGAAATTTAATTTCTAAACTCGTAGTTTTTTTAAAAAAATGTGCAGATACATTGCTTTCAATAGTCTGAATTCAAATCATGTATGTTCAACTCAGTAAAATACTGTCAGTACTGACATTCATTTTATCATCTGCTACAAATATAAATCTTATATGCCAAATTATAAGCCATATATCCTTCTAATCAGTTTTCATTGAGTTTGCATTTATTGGATTGATTCCAAACTTATATTACAAAAGAAAGCATTATAAAGTAATAGATCTGACTGTACTAATAATTGTAGTCGACCCACAAGAATCAATATTATCTTTAATCCATTGATTTTAGTTGACTATCTTCAAGAAACTTTAACCTACATATTCAGTAGTCATTAATATTTGTTGTTGTACTTGTCCATATTTCTTCTGAATGTATGTACAGTATATACCTCTGGATTCTGAATGAAAATTCACAAAAACTGACAAGGAATAGTCTATTAGTAACATTTTGCCTTTTTGGTCAGAAAATACACATACTTGTAAACAATTTTTGAATCATAGCTTGTTTTTTTACGGATGGTTACTTTGAAATAACTTGGAAATACAAACACCATTTTGTCTGAATAATTTATGTCATAGACCCTTTTGTCTTGAGAACAATTTATTTTTATATGCCACTAAAAGCCAAAGTTGTTACGAACTAAGCTAACGCGTTCATTAACAACCCTAATAGTTTTACTTCAACAGCAGGCTCGTAATCCTGCACTTCTGATTGGCCCGCGAATAGCGAGTCGTGATTGGTCGCTTCTGGCTGATCTGATTGGCTGACAGCGGGTCGCCTCTGATTGGACGCTTCTTAGAGCGGTAAACTCAAATCATTGGTTGTTTTGACAGCAGCCAGCTCTATAAAAGAGCTGCTGCTACCCAAGTATTTTACTCTGTTCTGAAGTCACTAATAAAGAGTTGAAGTCACAGTTCAATGCCTCGTCTCCGTTCCTTGCGCCCATGCTCAGGACTTAACAAAAGTATTCTAATATTTATTATAATTATAATTATAATATTTATCAAGATTGCTTAGCCTGTTGAATGATAGCTAGCAAATATATGCATTTCCTGATAATAGAATAATGTTTCAATTTCTTTTCTATTTCTTTTGTGCAATTTGGATGTCCCAAGAAACATTATTTTGCTTTTGTTGTTGTTATTCATTTTGTTTCATGAGCTTCATTGTGCTTGGTCCTCCATTTTCATGGTACTTGTGTATTTTTTAAAAAAAGTTTTCCTATTTATTTCCCCTGAGAATATTTAGAACTGATTTTATACCAAAAATACTTTTAATCATAATTTGCAAGTCTTTCTTTCTCTCTTTTGCCTCAGATAACACTTTTTCCCCTTTCAACTTCTTACTACAAATCTGGTGTTTTTCATTTTAGAAGCAGACTTTTTTTTAAAGTCACTTGTACAAGGTGGCTTCACAATATATCCCATTGCACCTACACTTTTAATTTGTTATAGAAATGAAGGGAAGCCCTTTATGGGGGAAAAGGATACTTCAGTGAAGTCTAAACTAATAAATTGATAATTTAATAAATAGGAAAATTGCCTAAACTAATTGTCATGTGTTTGTGTGGTGGTAATGGTGGTGGGGGTGCAATTATAAAATTTATTTAGCCAGGGTAAAATTTCAGGGGAATTTAACCCTATTTTCAATGCACGCAGAAGACTCCGTATTTCTAGCCACTGGGATATGCTGTACGATAGAAGAAAAAGTAGATACAGAAGCATAGCAGCATGTGGATGAAGATGTTGTGACAGATGATTGTTGGAAAAATGAAATCTGTTTTTCTTCTTCCTAGATAACATTAGCAAGCTCACCGAGGTGAGGAAGAAGGATCGTATGAAGCAAGACAGCTGAGCATAGCCCATCTGTAAGGAAGTTAAATAACCATGTGATAGATGCTACTGTCACTGATGCTAGTGGTGGGGAAAAGACTGGTTCCCTCAGAAGGTCTGTGATCTTCCTAATGATCCACTTCAATAAGATTAGTAACTGACCCAAAGGAATTAGATGTGAATAAGGTAGCAAGGGTAAATCCAGACAAAACCAAAATCCTTTGTACAAAAAGCCTATTATTGTACAAAAAAAGAAGTTTGCTCCAATTAAAGTTTCCTTTAAAATGAGAATGACTTGGGAGATTATTATTAAATGATCAGCTATTTATTAAAGCATATAATTTTGCATAAATAAATAAATAAAGTTTATTTTGCACTACTTTGAGGTAGAATCATTGCTTTCCACCTTGGTAGAATCTGACAAGATCACAATCCTGTATATATTAGTAATCGCCTTAATGTAATTACTAGAATGTATTTTATTTCAAATTGAATTAAAAACAATTCAAAATTTTCAACTCGGGTATCACATGGCACCTTTATTTTATCTAGTGCTTGGGTTACCAGTTCATCTCCAAGTATAATTCAAATTGCAGAGCATTACTACTAAAGATATAGACAGGACAAGATACTTACAGGGCTATTACTATATCAATCAAGTCTTTAAAACCCTTGTATATACCACACCACAATAGTGCCTGACAGAGCATT